CCCCAGGAAGGCACAATTTTCTCATCACTTCATGGGTACAGGAAGTCCTAGCCACATGTGCTGGTTCATTTTTGTCAGCTTAATACAAAATAGTCACCTAGGAAGAGGGACCCTTAGCTGAGGAATTGCCACCATGAGAGTGACCTGTGGACATGCTTATGGGAATATTTTCTTGATTAATGGTTGAAGAGGGGGGACTAGCCCACTGTGGGTGGTGCCACTCTGGGGCAGATGGTTCTGGGTTTTATGAGAGAGCAGGCTGATTTGGTCTACTGTAGGACTCCTAACAGTGGGAGCAGGGGCTGGCCCTAATGCTTTGGCTGGCTCTTGGGAACCTATTTACTCCTCACACTGGATTGCCTTGCCCAGCCTTAATACAAGGGGAGGTGCTTAGTCTTACGGCAATTTGATATGCCATGCTTTGTTGGTGCCCAGGGGAGGTCTGCTCCTTTCTAAACAGAAACAGAGGAGGACTGGATTGAGCTGGAGAGACAGAATGGGAGGAGAAAGGAGGGGGAAATGGATTTGGATGTAAAATAAATAAATTAGTTAAAACAAAGAAAGGAAGGAAGGAGGGAGGGAAGGAGGGAAGGGAGGAGGCAAGCAGTGTACACCAGAGAGAACAAGCTAGTATTCCTCATGGCTCTGCTTCTAGGTTCCTGTTTGAGTTCCTGCCACAACTTTCCTCAATAATTACCTGTGAAGTGCAAGTGTAAAAGAAAACAAAGCCTTTCATCCACAGGTTTTTTTCACTCTGGTGTCTATCAGAGCAATGGAAAGCAAGCTAGGCTACCCCTCTCAAGCCAGTAACTCCAGACACTCCGAAATCTCAGCTGAAATGGATTCTTCAAAATTCTAAAATGACTTGGTCAGACATGTGATTTTTGTTGTGAATGCCCACAGCTTGGACTAGGCAAGAGGGAAGCACACTTGCTTTCTTCCTTTGTAGTCCCCCAGAGTACTGGGGGACAGACTGAGGAGGCCAGAGGGAAGGCAGACCAAAACCATTCCTAGGAGATGGAAGATTGAAGAGAAGGGAGAGCGGAAGGAAGAGGGGGAAGAAAAGGAGAAAGATAAAGAATGAAAGTATGGAGATCGCTAACAACTGGAGGCTTCCAGAGCCCTCCACCTCTGCCCTCTGCCCTCCTGACCCTGCAGATGCCTCAGTCCTTTCAGGGAGCCAGGGCAAGTACGGGTGTGTTCAAACATCACCCCTAGAGACTTCTCTGACGACCCTTTTCAAATATTCTATTCGGGACCATCATTCAATTTTTGTTGGACAAGGACCCCGTCTCTCTGCAACTCCATTTATCCTGTTGTCTACCCTGGTGTCCCAGTGTCCCGATGCCTGTGGGAAACCAGGGAACTCACAGCCAGGCTGATCACTTTAAGCCCTGCTCAAGTGGCAGCAGATGCCTGAAGGGCCTGGAGACAGCTACCTCTGCTATCAGACATTGCACTGAGAGGTCACAACGGTCCTGGTGGCAGGCATGGGCTGCTTAGTCAGACTGCTGCCCAGGTTCAGGTTCAATGTCTGCCTGCCTTTACCAAAAAGAGTGACCTTGGGCCAACAGACTGCTTCCTTCCTTGGTTTTCTAGTCTCTAAAGTGTCGACGGTGATAGCACTCGCCTGGGAAGCAGCAGGTTAAATGGGTAAATTGACACAGGTAAAGAGAGGGCATGGTGCTTGGCATCCAGCATGTGCTGTCTTGAGCACAGGCTGGCATTATCTTCCTGTCTACGGCTGGAAGGGTCACAGAATTACTTGACTTTACAGCTTAGCCTCTCAGAGATGGGAGTCAACCCACAGATAAGATGCTGCTGGGATAAGAAGCCTAGACCAACATCCCACTTACTTAAATATGGGGTAATAACCCAGGGAGCTGCAGAGAGAGTTGCCACTGCTACAGTATGAGGAGGAAGAGGGCAGCTACAAAATAAAGTTGGACTCCACTCCCTCCTGCACAGCGCCACCGAGCCAATATGACAGCATGACCCACCTCCCCATGTTTAGTTTAATTCCTTAATTATCTCAGCGGTTACTGAACTTAGGTTTTGACACGATCTGATTAACCATAGGAATCCATCTTAATATAATGTGGCCAGGGTTTAATAGTCATCATTAAACTATCATTTACATACAACTACTCATACATATTAGATGGCTTTTCTATTCAACCATAGATGCAGTAAAAAAAAATTTAGGCTAACATTCATCCTTTCTTATTTTGGGGATGAGAGGAATCCTGACAGAAGCCTTCAAAGTGCAACCTTTGCAAGCTACTGCAAGCAACCTTCCTGTATCTATACCACACACATCTGGAAAGTTCCCTGAATCAGGGCAGCATTGGGTAGCATGAAAGCTGCTCCCATTGAGATTCTGGAGCTGTGGTGGTCAATGAATGGGCTGTTGTTTTGGTTTTTGTTTTTCAACCATGTAGATACTTTTTTCCCTTGATATTTTGAATCCTCTAGGTATTCTGTTGGTACCCATTTACAAAGTAAAGGAAACTCCATAGTCACTGAGTGACTTTAACATTAGTCTTGCTAGAAGCCCATAGGAAGAGAGGAGACTATAACAACCAAAAGGATGCCGCCGTTAAATAACAAAGCAGAGCATACTGTTTGATGGCTAAAGACGCTGTGGTGGTTTTCAACATGGCTGCCCAAAGGAGGCTAGAAGATTTGCCCAGCATGCCCATGCCCTATGTAGTCTAGGCTTCTGTTGGCATATATGGTCCAGCCTATAATGCTGTCTGTCCTTCACAGCCTTGGAGCACCCCTCCCCTTCTTCATACCTCTCACTCTTGCCCAGTCAGCTCCAAGGAATGTTCTTCCTGCAGACCTTGTCATGCTGTGCATGTTCTTACCTTACGGGGTCAACCAAGGTTATCTGCCCAGGCGTCCCCATGGCTAGTTCTCATCCCCTCAAGTCTTGTTTGGCTCTCATCTTCCCAGCAAGACCCTGTCTAGCTCCCCTGCCATCCCACAACACTGACTCTCCCTAGCTCTGTCTTCCCCTGATGACCACTGAGCACTCTCTGACCTACTGTGTTGATTTTCCCATTGTCTGTCATTCCCTGTTGCTGCCCCCGTTGGAAAGTGAGTTGCAGGAAGGCAGAGAGCCTTGCCTGTTGTGCTCACAGGTGCATTTCCACAAAGGGGGACCGGAAAGATGCATATTAGTGAGGGAGCGCCTTGCTAGGGCATTAGGATGGCAACCTCAAATGAGACTGTGTGCCTGGGAAATGAATGGCCTCCCTTTGTGGAACCTCTTTCCCTCCCCAGGTCACACCTTGCATCTCTCTCTTACTGTCAGAACGCCTCCCTCCTTTGTCCCACAAGTGGTTAGGTGCCTTCTCTCGGGTCGAAGCAAGTGCAAAGCCCACAGTTACACCCCCCCCCCCCCCCCCCCCCCCCCCCCCCGTTACAGCTCTTGGGTTCTGTCTGACCAGAGCTCTTCACACATTGTCCAGGAAGAGGCTTTGGAGCCCTGCTTTCTCACTCTTGCAGTAACTGTTAGCCACCACTGCTCCCTGCCGCAGCAGGGCACCCAGGTCCCCAAAGCTGGGGGCCTTGTAGGGATCATTCTGCAGCAAGCTGGAGGCAGGGCAGACTCTCACAGAGGTGCGTGGGCTGAAGATCTGGCCTCGGCAGTCTCCCATGCCTGTCAGGCCCTCTCTTACAAGAGGGTTAGGATGAAAGACTGACAGACTTGTTCACTGGGCTTCACCCAGTGAAGGGGAGGGTGAAACCAGAGGTGGAAATCTACACTTCCAGCATCCTCTCTATCCCTGCAGCCTCCAACTCCGCGCCTGCTAATACATGAGACAGCTGCAAAACAGGATTCACAGAGAGAATCAAAGGGAAAAGGTGGTTCATAAAAGAGGGAGGACTGCTTTTTCTGTCCTGCCCACCAGCTCCCGTATGAATGATCTCATTTCCCCGAGACCTACGGCTGTAATAGCCCATAATTACTTAATCATTCCCACTCTCCCATTTGTTCTCCACTTTAAGTGCCAGATAAACACGTTGTTTATTAAGGAGATAGCTTAAGTTCATAGAAAAACCAAAAGAATTTGAACATCTCTTAATAGGAGTAATTCCTATCTTCATGATTTACGTAACATGAGAGGAAGAAAAAATTCACACTAGAAGAAAATGCTTTCCTTCTCAAGACCAGTTTAGAAACTCAAGACTTCACCACTGAGCTTTGTTTTTGCACTTTGAATCACTGTTGGGGGGAGCACACCAGCAATGCTCAACCAGCATGTGGCCTGATGCTGAGCCCTGGTGCACTGAACTCTTCTGAGTGAAGAGCACTTTTGGTCAGGGTGGAAATTGTCTGTTCCGAGGCTGCGATGGGGGTTGACTTTGTATGCAGTAGTCAGAACAGGAACTGCTGAATTGGGGCATACATGAGGTAGGAACAGGTCAAGGTGTAAAGAGAGGAAGAGTGAGTATAATACAAAGGAGGAGACAAAGTTACAAGTCCAATGGAATGTCACTTTGTACCTAAAAAGAGAATGTTTACAGGAATATAGGCAGCACATCTCATGGGTATATGGGAGGTGCAGGTCTGGGCAGTCAGGGGTGGCCAGGCCACAGGGTTTGAACCGCAGAGGCAAGATCCTCTCATACATGCCACAAAACTGGCTTAAATCCAATCGAGAAAGATTGAGGACCTCCCCTAACTTTCCTAAGAAAGTACTGACAGAGGGAGAAAATTAAGAGAAACAATTGATCTTGAGGCTGACACTACATCTTGAAAGTTGGGGTGTGATTTGGAGATTTCAGCTAAAAAGTCACTTGATATAAAAAAAAAATTACAAAAACATACCATCACGAAAAATACAATAAAAAGGTACTGGTTATAAAGTAAAAATACAGAAAGCATACTCAGACAAAACCACAAAGAACAAATAAACTTTTATATCAAAGGGGAGAAAAAGGAATGGACAAGCAAAACAACAGAAGTTTCTAGTCACTGTGCTACCCACCTTGGAGAGAGGCCTGCAGATCTTTCATGTTTTGGTCTAAAAGCTGCGAAGGAAGGAATCCAGAGCCTGTCTGGGGCTTGGGGTCTGGCTCTCCCTGGGCCCCCACGGGGGCCGTCTCCTTCAGCCGGTCCTCTCCGAAGACAGCAGCCCACTCCCGGCTGAACTCCCCTTCGTCCAGGCAGGAGGCACTGAAAATCTCATTCAACAGCACGAGCTCGTCCTTGTCCCCACATTCGGGGTCTGGGGTCTCTGCCATGGGACCCAGGCAGGCTGCGGGGGCAAAAGAGCACAGAGCACATGACTCCCGAGAGCGCGAGCTTCAGGAGCAGCTGTCTGTCATGCGGGCTAGCTAGCCCAGGACAAACTGAATGATGGCTAGATTTAAGAAAAGGTAACCAGAACAGAAATGTATCCCATGCCATGCTTTATTAACAGATTTCAGAAATAAATTTTGAATTCTATGTTTCCTTGTCCCCTTTCTTCCAAAGCAAATCCAGTTTTTGAGCATTATTAGAATTGCACTGGAATATTTTACACACACACACACACACACACACACACACACACACACACACACACACTCTAGGGTTTGGGTTTCCCCTTAACATAAAAACAGATCTAACAAAACATTCCCTAGGTCTGAAACGAAGCCAGGCTGAAAGCTGCTGGGGATCTTAGTTCCTTGTTTGTCAGGCTTCCCTAATCTTCCCACACAAGCCCTCAATCCACGCTGCCTGGGCTGGAGTAGCAAGCAAACCGTGTGGCAGCAGCCTGTCCCAAGCCGGGGAGAAACCTCACCACGCCCTGGCACCGGGGAGCATGTCAGGAGCTGCATCAACACCCAAGACAGATGTCTTTGCAATAACAGCTGCAAGAGACAAAGTAAAGGTGGCTCTGGCTTGCTTAAGAGCAGCAGTCAGAGAATGACAGGGAAGGAGGCCTTAAGTCCAGGTCAGATGCAGGGGGCCTCAGACAGACGCACTGACAGGTGGCAGAGCCCTAGTCCTGAGGGGAGTCTAGGTCCAAACCATCTTCAGCAGACCTTCATCCTCTGCGGCTCCAAAGAGTCATCCCTGAGGTTACAGTAGGCCAGATAGCCATCTTGGAATGTCAGGAAAATGGGAACACTACATTCAAGTCATCAGCCCAAATGACTGTAATAGAGAATCATTCTCATACACGAACACGGACCAAACGCCGAACGTTATTTACAAGGAGAATGGGGTCCTGACTCTCATACAACCATGGAAAGCTCTGTCGTTGAGTTTTTCTACCTATTTTAAGAACAGAGGACTGGGGGATGTATTAAGTGTTGCTTTGTTTGAGGACTCTAGTTGCCATTTGCAAACTGAAAACATTTTTATCATAAGTCACGAAGCAAAGAAAAACATCATGGTTCCTATGTTTTTCTGAGCAACACTGAAATTCTGATGATTTTGATAAATAAGATTATCAGGCTTTCCTCAAATATATTCATATATATGGTGAGTAGTAGTTAATGTTATTGTTGTTTTAAATAAATCTTCTCTCTGCTCTTTTGCTGGATCTATTTTCATCTACATGTTACATAAAGATCTAGAGATTTAGGGGATTTTTTTTTTTTTTAATGAACTCAGCAGACTGGCTATAAATCAGGGAGGGGGGAAATCTAAGTAACTCATATCACTGTGGTTTTAAAACAGTGGCAAAACATCACTTTGGTCAGACAAGTGCCTAATTTAAGCATTTTTTATTGTTTATGTTATCAAAGACATTTCCAGCCAGACATAGCCTGTAGGCATACTAGGTGAAAAAGTCAGTGACTGGGTTCTGTGAAGAGGCTTCCCTGCAGGGCAGGAGCTGCCAGGCCGAGGGCGTGCTGCAGGCTGCTCACCTGCATGCATACATACAGGAAGAAGCTGAGGAACAGCACCCGCCATGTATCAGGTGTGTCCCTCAACACAGGTGTTTACTTATGAATTTTCTCTTTCAGTCTCTCCCAGACTCTCCTATTAACTCGTGGTTACTTTTCAAACCTCTGTACTTCCCATTTTCTGGTGACACTGGAGTACCCAAACCATTTCTCCTGGTTCCTTTCTGGCCTGGTGGCAACCGTATGATTACTGCGCCAAACCCATGTAAGTGACGACATCTATTCCGTGGGACCTTAAGTGGATCTTTGAGCAATGCCTGTTCCTTTGACAGTCATTTCAGTCTGACCTATTCAGAAGCCAGGCTTGGGGAGGTGTCACTGTGGTGTCTGGGATGGCTACCCCACAAAGATCACAGTGGACACAGAATAACAGATCATAAACGTAAAGTCCTCTACACATAAGCCGGTTATAAGACTTCTATTTCATGTTTAGTGTTTAGGCTTTATGCTTTAGGTGTTGAGTAGACGTTAGCGGCTTCTGCTGACTAGCATCCCTTCCCTTTCCTTCAGTTGTTTTTTCTTGAGAAGCACTTTCCCTCCGTGATTCCGCTGAGTTGCCCTTAGGAGACCTCATTACCCGCCACTCCAGATGTGTGTGTGTGGCTGAGCAGGTTGAAGTTCCTCCATCTCTCAGGCCACAGTGACTGACTCAGGGGATGACACGTGCTGGAGGCTTCCCTGAAATTGCTGTATGGAAAGTGGATGGAGAAAGACCCATCTTTCTTTGGGATTCTCAGGTCCAAAGATGCAAATCTGAGGCTGGTGGTGAAAATAGAGCCAACATACAGAGGAAAACTACCTGAAGAGCCAGAAAAGGAATTTTGACAGCATTCAGCCAGCCCCTGGGTCTCGCTTGAGACAGTATACTGCTGAACACCCTCAGTTACATGGCCAATTACATTTTAAGCAGAATTCTAAACCTAACCCATTTCAGCACAGGCTTCCATCCTTATAACCAAATGAATTTTGTACCTATCAAACTCAAGCATATTAGTCACAGAACTGAGAAAATATTCTCTGCAGTCAGTTAGGAATTCAGGTTTTGCATCTCCTGAAGTCTACCATTGAGTGTGGTCTATTATTTAGTATTCTGCTTATTTATTTAGTTTAAAACTTCTTATTAAAAAGTTGCAAAGAAAAACATCATCCCATCCTGGCTATTTGGCAGTTAAAGCAGGCTGTACAGTGAGCTGTGCTCTTGTAAGAGAACTTATTATGTAGCTAAAAGCAAGGAAAACTGGTACTGACTTGAACCATAAAACACAGAAACCTCCCGATTATTACACTGATAATTAAGATGCCTGAAATTACTATGCATAACATGTAAGAGAAACTTAATTACAAGTCCAAATGGACAGGTTTAGGTCCGTAACCAGACAAGTCACGACTTGAGAAGTTAAGCTTGTCAGCTGGCCCTGGGGAACTGAGCTCCTCTTATCTTCTTTGAAAACAGTGCCACTCAACCAGAGACAAAGAAAACATGTAGAGATGCCACAATGTCTTGGGAGAAGCCTGGTCAGAATGTCCACCCACACAGACCAACAAAGACTGCTACTGAGTTGTGGGCTACAACTTCCTTTGGCTCAGAGTCTCCAAATGTCTGCCTCCAATCCAAGTTCTCCAACTCCTGACCACAAATTCTTATCTTATCCTTTGTGGTGTGCACACCGGTGAGGCAGCTGCACCTTCATGAGATGGCCTCCTACCCTGCACCTTTGCCTACACCAACTTTGAGATCATTCCTTGTTCAAAACCTTGCGAATGCTCCTCCTGCCAGCTAAAGTGTAAAGCAGTATCTCTCCCAATGGTGGCATATAGGATCTCCACACGCTCAGCCAGTGCTGAAGTGGTATCAGGCCACCTAATCATGCGGCCTCCTGGGAAGCCTATAATTTAGCCAAGGTGCCCCATTTAGTACTGCTTTCCTGCCTGGGAATTTGCTGTTTTCTCTCAATGAGAAGAACCACTATTTATTTATTTACCAAAGTGATCTTAGAAACTGTTTCCTTGAACTCATTCTCCAGATGAGGAAAAATAGACCCAGGTTAGATTATCTGACCAAGGTCAAGTGATTTATTAGTTACAGACAATCTGGCCTGGGAGCCATGACTCACAAGTCAGTGTTTTCTCTCTGTGGAAGAGAACTGCCTGTCCTTCAGAGCAGAGGTAGGTTTTTTGTTTTTTGTTTTTTCTACATGCTGACAGAGAACTGACTGGGATCTCACACACAAACTAATATAAGAAGGTTTTTGTGAAGATGTGAGGCTTTCTATGGCCAGAGTGTTCTTCCAGGTACCATGCAGACAGGCAGAATGGCCAAACCAAAAATACTCCATATGCCTGCCTTGCTCAACACTCAGAAATAAGAAGGCTGGGGCCGGGGAAGCATTCCCTAGAAGAACTGGTCCTGAACCGGTGAGTTCTAGCTTGTAAAAGCTCCAACTAGAGGAAACTCAAGTTTAGGCAGAGCATGGAAAACTGATGACAGCTGCTTCAGATAGCGCTTTTGAAATCACACCTAGTTTCATGACCTCAGCATGAATTAGGAGCACAGAAAATGGAAATAACTGTACAGACCGAGAACGAGAACACAGGACAACAAATAGATAAATGTCACTCCATCTACCTTCATCTGTGTGAAACAGGAAGATTGGCTTCTCTGGGTTTCTCCCTGGTCCCCACGCCCCACATAATGACTAATTTTCAAGACCACAGGCCTGCAGCGCCGCTGAAACCCCAAATACCATCGCTCCCCTCCTATCACCCAAAGGATGGCGGGGGAAGACGGTAGAAAAGCACCTGACAGAATGTCTAAACAGAAAAAACAGTTCTTCAGGCTCTGCTAACAGAATGTTCTTGTTTGGAATTCAAGAATGCTGCTTTGAAAAACTCCCTTCAGGTTTAAAAATAATAATAAAGAAAAGTCCCCACTGGCAGGGGCCAGGTTGGGGGGGGGATAAGGATCTATATGTGCTTTCTGAAAAAACAAAAGAATAATCCAAGAATGCCAGCCCTGAGTAGGCATACACAAAAATACCTGACTGCTAAGATCCCGCCCCTCCACTTGAATATTAGAGTTTAGCAACTAACCTCTCTCACAACAGGGCTGGACCAAGTCTTTAAGAATCTCCATAGAAATAATTCTATGTACAGCACACTACTACACGATTGTGAACATTTATTTTATTATATATTTGGTTTTATTAAGCAGAGTTTCATGTGGCTTGTGTGGACCTCAAACTTGTTATACAGCCGAGGGTGGCTTTGAACTCCTGAACTTTAATCCTCCACCTCTCAAGTATTGGGATTACAGGTTTGCTGACACACTCCTGTTTTCAGTATTTTATTTTAAAGGTGTCTGTATTATTGTTGGGCTGGGGGTGTGTGTGTGTGTGGCTCAGTGGTAGAGCGCTAGTCTAATGTGTAAAGGATGAGTTCTTCCCATCACTGTAAAGAAAAAGTATATGACTATTTCATGGGGTGACCCAGGTCACCAGCATGTCCCGGAATACTGACAGGAAGGGAGGGGGAGTGTTTATGAGAGAAGATCAGGAATTTAGCACTTGGTCATTGTATGTCCTCAGGCAGAGCAATCAGCTCTCTCATATGACTGTAAGGATGACTACAGGTAGCAGTTTGGTGACTCAGAGAAGCTAGGCACCACTGGATAACACATGATTGCTGTGGGCTAAAGGTTCTCACCTAGACCTCGGCTAGCTGCTGAACGGACTGTCATCACTATACCTGGCCAGATATAGAAACACAGCCGTGACAGAGGAAGACAACAAACACGTTTTTTTTGTAATAAGGACAATAGTTTTGTTTTGTTTTTTGATTGGCCTAGACCTTGTGCTTTAGGTAAAGGCTTAGTGATAAGATTTAGGGAAGTTTAACTCATCAAATTTTCATCCGCTTTATACTGCATCTTTTTTGTTCAGCAGAATGTTATTTGGGGGGGGTCCACCTTGAGGAACACAAAGATTTCTACATGCTATAATTCATGAATGAAGGTCACATGTCATGTGTGGTATATGGTGACTTCAGATCCACTTTCAAGAATGTCAGAATGTCACTAATTTTTTACTAAAATATTTTTATGCTGTGTGGTCAAGAATTGATTTTCTATTACTTTATCATTTAGTAGGAGAATGCTGAGCTAGAGCTAGAGCTCCCAAGTCTTATAAAATTAGCCGTCCTCGGATTAAGTGCTTTTTATTTCTTCACATCTAACGTTGCATACTATAATCAGCATTGTAGTTCAGAACTTGGGCCTGGATGTAGTTCTAAAGGACATGCATTTTGAAGTGAACAGAACAGCAGGCATCCTTTTTTTCCTTTGGTCACCACAAGCCCTTGGTGCATTGAGAGCATCTTTATATTTGTGGTTGTGGTTTCAGAGCCAATACCACCCAGAGGGAGGAAAACATAGAAGAGGCAGACAGTGGAGTGCTGTGGAATGGTCTGTATGGCAAATGCTCTGATTGGTCAATAAATAAAACACTGATTGGCCAGTGGCCAGGCAGGAAGTAAGTATAGGTGGGACTAACAGAGAGGAGAATTGAGAGAACAGGAAGCTGAGTGAGGGAGACACTGCCAGCCGCTACCATGACTAGCAGCATGTGAAGATGCTGGTAAGCCACGAGCCACGTGGCAAGGTATAGATTTATAGAAATGGATTAATTTAAGATATAAGAACAGTTAGCAAGAAGCCTGCCACGACCATACAGTTTGTAAGCAATATAAGTCTCTGTATTTGCTTGGTTGGGTCTGAGCGGCTGTGGGACTGGCGGGTGTCAGAGATTTGTCCTGACTGTGGGCCAGACAGGAAAACTCTATCTACAGTGGAGAGCATCCCTCAGGCCCACTGGAGGACTCTGTGGGACAGCAGTGATGAAGGGACTGGGTGTCTAATGTGACATTGCATTTGACTGGGGAAGACCGGTGACTCTATCTTTCTGCCTGAGAACTGGTACTTGTATCAGGGAAGAGCACATCCAGCTTCATCTTTAGAACTAAAAGCAATGGGGCATGAAACTTGCTTTCAATAAATAGATGTCAATCTTCATCCAATGGGTCCTGGCATATGAGGAAGTCTATGAAAGCCGGCACATTATTGCAAGCAGTAGCTTTCTGCTCTAATTCTATGAGGAAATGCTGACTTTGGGGCTAAGGTTGTAGCAGTCTACCAGTTTTTTAAAAAATCTTTGTATAAAGCTCCACATCTTCTTTTACCCCTTATAAAGGGAGAAGGAAGAAAGCATATGGACTCCTTTTTTCTATGTCTCAGTACAAAAGCTTTAGAAGGATGGGAGGCCTGGGGGGGGCACTTTGTTGTCAAGATGGAGTGTGGGCCAGGTACAGAAATGGGGCTGAGTTTTTAAAATACAATATTCTATTACCTTATGTACTAATATGAATATACTACCGATTCAAAAATCAAGTCTACTAAAATAATAAAATTAAATAGAGTTATAAACAAAGAAAAAGCCATATAAACAAGATGCTGTGTTTGGGAGGAATACCAATCCATCAAAATAAGATACGATGGAGCACGCATATGATTATGAATACGTTTATTAAATGTTGTTGTTGAAACTGGGTGGTAAATACTTAGGGCTTGTATTATTCTCATGCCATTTTGGTAAGATTAAAATATTTCAGTACTCCAAAATAATTTGTAAAGGAAATTTTTTATTCCATTAAAATGCTTTATTCTTTTTTTTTTTTTTTTTTTTGGTTTTTCGAGACAGGGTTTCTCTGTGTAGCTTTGCGCCTGTCCTGGAACTCACTTGGTAGCCCAGGCTGGCCTCGAACTCACAGAGATCCGCCTGGCTCTGCCTCCCGAGTGCTGGGATTAAAGGCGTGCGCCACCACCGCCCGGCTTTAAAATGCTTTATTCTTAAACCAGAGGGGAAAGGGCCTTACAAAAATGGGGGCTGTGTATGGCAATCCATACTCACTGTTCACTCATTCATTTCATTACTTGCTATGGTTTCTGATTTACTAATCTCACATCATTTTGATGAAATATTGCATAGTATGACGCCTTCAGTAAAACATTAACGAGGCAAAGACTTCCACCTTTGGTTCTATATTCCCAAGCCCTGAGAAGTTCATGGCAAAGTTGTGGTGACTTTGTATCTCTGAGAGATTTTTTTCTCTAGTACTCTGTGGATTCAGCCCACACCTTGATGGTTAATCTTGAGTTTTAACTTGACTGGATTGAGAGCCCCTAAGGAGACTATTAAGCACACCTCTAGGAGTATCTGTGATTCAGAGAAAACTAGACCACATAGACTTTGCCCTAATCAAGTTGACCCATGGATAGACTCAAATTTGAAGTAGACAATTGGGAGGTGATGGAACCCTGGAAGTACGGAGCGGGAGGAAGTGGCTGGCTGGGGGCATGTCTTGGTGTGGTTCCTTCCTGTTACTGTGCTTTTGACCTCTGTGAGGTGAGTGGCTTTTTTCCACCATGCCCTTCCTCCATGATGTTTCTGCCTTACCACAGAGTTAAAAAGCCAGCAGAGCATAGGCTGGAACCATGAGCCAAGATAAACCTTTCTTCCTTTAAACTGTTTCTCTCAGGCATCTCTCACAATAACTCACAGTCTAACAGGTCAAATTCAGACTGAGTTGAATCATACCTTGGTTGACTGAGGTCCACTGGATGGTTTGGGTCAGTTGTATGCTGTAAGAAACCTCTATGATCAGGGCAGAATGCCAATCTCCAGGTCAAGGGATACTCTGATGTTTGGCTCAGAGTCTTGGGGTCATTTTGGACTCTTGGTAAATCATTAAAGGGAAACTTTTGTTTGGATGAAAAGCAAAGGCTAGGATTACATAGAAACTACTCAGTTTCCTTAGATCACTCAGTACCATAAGTATCATCTAAATACAGACTCCTGAATTCTCTTTCAAGTAGCTGTTTAGTAGTCAGCATAAGATTTCTAAGTCTGGTGGACTTGGTTTACTAAGGTTCAACCAACATACAGCATTGTATACCATCTAGAGAACACTCCTAACTAACACCCCCCTTTCTCAACAAGCCATCATTCCAAGAGTATCCCTGCATCAGAAACCACAAAATAGCCTTTTCATACCTGAGTTCCATTCCTGACAGTTCCCTGGTTAGGTTACTGTATTTGGTTCCATTTTACAGGCAAGAACAACTGAGGCTTACAGAGTTTGAATATCAAGCAAATTACTTAACGTCACTGATGGGAGGAAAAAATTCAAAATCCACAACGTCTCGTTTAGAAAGTTAGTTTTTCTGTTACAGCGTAGTACCTTCATCATAATCAGCTTTAAAAACATCGTCTAATTAAATAATAATAAATACATATTACATATTGCTTGAGCATATGTAAGGTAATCTATAATGGCTGTCATCTAAAATTTTTTGTTTATGACTGTAAGCTATTAAAAAGATAACTATTCAAAAAAAATCAGAAGAGGCCAGGCAGTGGTGGCCCACACCTTTAATCCCAGCACTCAAGAAGCAGTGTCAGGCAGATCTCTGTGAGTTCAAGGCCAGCCTGGTCTACAGAGCGAGATCCAGGACAGGCACCAAAGTGACACAAAGAAACCCTGTCTCCAAAAACCAAAAATATATACATATATATGATAACTATTGAATTTTCTTGCACTGACAACAAGAGAACTTAAAAATCTAATCAAATTATAAACTTCAAAGACTATATAAATCTTACCTTCTTCAGGTTTCACATCTAGTAGTTCATCTATTGGTCCTTATGAGAAGCAAAAGCAAATGAATTATCAGTTAATTCCATTCCATAAGGAGTTTGAGTAAATGACGAAAACTGGGAAGTCTGTCTTTGGATTACCTGAGCATGCATCATAGGCAGAGCTTTTGTCGACAGATGACAAAACACCTTTTCCATCTTCAGCTGAAATGCAACATATGCAGTTGGTTACGAGCAGCCCACAGTGGTACATGTTTATATACTGTGTGTGCGGGAAATGTACACGGCTGGAAAGAGAGAACAATCTAAACTCTCTCATGTAAAGCAGTGGTCCTCAGTTTACCTTTTACTTCAGCAGTTGGCTCTCAATGAATTTAAATTCGGAATTTTAATTTTATGTAATTAATTTATTTAATTAAATTTAATGTCCACATTTCCAAAGAATCTCTGTTTTGTTTGACAGATAACCCATACAATACTCTATTATACTGTTCTTTTTTCCACCCATGGAAAAATGAATGACTTAAGTAATTGACTATTACTGGGTATCATTAACAAATTTTAACCATATGGGCTTGGCTAAAATGAAAAAAGGAATATTGAATTCTCAATAAAGAATCATTTTTTTTTTTGAAAGACTGAAAACCTTGTATTCTCTAATTCTGAGGAAACCTGCCGAGACAGTAAAAAGGCCAGTGGATGCTAAGGGCATGCGTGGTGGGTGAGGAGGTGAGAGCGAGAGACAGAGAGCATGGAAGCAGGTGATATTTTATATGATACTTTAATAGGAAAAATGAACCATTTCAGATTTATAATAGCCATCAGATTTATAATAGAACACTAAAAGTGAGCACTATATCAACTGTGGACTTTGGGTGATAAGGGTGTTACTATTTAGGCTTGTTGGTTATACAAACACCACGCTGGTACAGGATGTTGATAGTGAAAAGTACCGTATGTGGGGACAAAGGTACATGGGAAACCTCTGTGCCTTGAACTCAGTCGTGGTGTGAACTAACTGTGGCTTACAATAAGCAATAAAGCGTGGTTATACACGCATGCGTACACACGTGATAGGACAGCCTCAAACTCAGTTTGCTCCTATGTTCATCAGACCTCCTATAGGTCCCCGAATAAAGGACAGTGCCACTTCATCATAATGGATTCACAATCTCCAAATATTATGCAAATATCACACCCAATTAAATTATATAAGGAAAGAGAAAAGTTGCATTTTCTTCTCTATAGTCACATACTGTACAAATCTACATAAGTTATATAGATTTGAAACTTTTATATGAATACAATAAAGTGGAGTTTACATTTTTCTGAAGCACTAAATATGTTCTACTCTATGACTTTGATTCCCATACAACATTGGTTCATGCCATAGGTTCACAGAGGGGCACTGAGGCTGGAGGCCTGGATCAACACAGATAGCTCTTCCAGAGCCATAAAATCAGGCCTAGCCTCTCCACCGCTTACTTCTCCTCAGACTCTAGAATGCCACTTTTCTGACGTTGCCTGGTTCTTCCTGGCTCATTCCTTTGCTCGGGCTGTTTCTTTTCCTTTGACTAGTCTTACAATAGCAAATGGCTTTAGCTTGTCCCGATTCCCTCAATTACGTGAGGCCTCTGTAACGCACACCCAGAAGGCTGGCCTTCGCCTAGGTAGCTCTGACCAGCATCACTACAGTTGGAGATGGGAGCAATTGCTACTATCTGCTTCCGCTGTTGAGTGGGAGCCTCATTCCAGAAAGGTCCGGCTGTGTGCAGTGTGTAACGTTTTCTGGTGGAGCTTCGTGCTGTGTGGGGCACTGAGGTGGAGCTAGAAAACACACCTCTGAGGTAAAAACATCTGAAGATGACCTTCAGTTTCCTTCCAATGCCCTTGTCTCCGCCTCCCAAGCACAGATGGGTTGGAGGCATGTACCACCACACCTACATGTTTGTTTGTTTGTTTCTTATTTCCTATTTTCTACTGAAGGCAGATTGAAAACAGAAAAGGAGAGAGGAAAGGCGGAGGGGTGGGGTGGGGTCAGGTGTGTAGGTTCGGCGAGTGGTTGGAAAAGTAGGAAGAGCCAGGATGAAGGAGAATGGAGCAGAAGGAAAGCTCGAGGACTTGCTTCACAGGTCTCCTTTCCTGGGCAGGCTTCCCGAGCCTCTCTCCAGGCAGGGAAGATGGGAGTGTGTCCCCAGGAGGGCCTGTCTGAACAGAAGGTTGGGTGATTTTTGTTATTGACATAACATCTTTAGTTACCTGTATAATGTAAATCGCCTTTCCATCTGTGAAGATTTTAACTCCTGGAGAAGGGCTCAGCATTGTTACATATTGGTTTTACCATAGTTTACCATACTCTGTACCTTTATGGTAAGGAGCCAAGAGAAAATCTGGCAGCAGTGCAGGAGCCAGAGACAGCAGAATGCCACATCAGAGTGCCACCTCTCAATGTACAGAGCCTTCTCCAAGGTAGGCTTCAGGTTACCTTGAGGAAGCTGGCGCCACTCCTTAATGTGGCCTGAGCATTCACTTGGGAGGGCAAAGTCTGGGCTCTCCTGTCTCCAGCAATGAGGAACGCCCACCCACCAATCCCCACTGACCACACCCTGCATGTGATACTAAGGTTGCACTAAGACCTGGAGCTAGGGCTGACTACTCAGAGCAGTTCAGAAATCCTGTCTCCTGGAAAGGGGCAGCTGCCTGCCACGTCCCACCACGTGGAGGGTGCTGAAGTCACGCAAGATGGCAGTTTCTGGTTCAAACTACACGACATCTCTTGGTACTGCTAAAGGGCTGACAGCATTAATATCTGAGACTACAGGAAGCAAATTAATATAGTCTTTTCTTAAGATGGAAAAGAAAGCAGCCAGGAGGTAATTTACCAAAAAGAGAAACAAGTTGTCTGTTGTGCATTAATTCAGGGTTTCCGAAGCAATTTAAATGGAAATGAAAACTTACTCTTACAAGTAGACGATTCTTTGGGCTGGTTCTCATCCTCCAAAGAAATTAATCTTAAAATAAAAAGAAAGCTGGGTTACACAGTTCTGCAAGTTTATGTTTATGGTAGTGCTACATTCTTTCAGTGTGATTTCCATTCCTTCACTGACAACACACCCCACCCCCACACATGACAGGGGCAGAGGAAGAGAGAAGGAGACACAGAGAGAGGGGTCATTTGTATGGCATCTATTTTCTGAGGAAGAAATAGCACTGCTCACTTTTTGTAACATCCTACAGCATCTTCATCCATGAGTATGGCTTCACCATAAGGCACATACTCTGTAAACATCTTGCTGGGCAGTTAGGGATAATTGCAATGTGCTCACATAGTTATCACCATGCACAGCTATAGAAAGAGATGGCTAGGCAATGGTTAATCCCGATTCCTGGTGTTAAAGGAGATGCTAAACTACAGAGAAGGTTGAGGGCAGGGTCACTCCCAAACCCAGAGGCACACTTGCCCATCAGAGGAAGCTCTTCCCATGACTTTACAGACAGACCCTTCCCCACCCTCACACTCCTTTCGTGCTTCCTGGCTTTTATCTGCTATTTCTGAACAAAATTCCTTCTAATCTTTCATTTAAAATAGCGACTGGTATGCTTTTGGAGCTCTCAGAGAAGAAGTACTAAGACACTTGAGAAACCTGAATTAGTGAACACATCAAGAAAGTCCCGTGTAGTTCTCTCCTGGGTAAAGACTAAAGGTTTATTTGGGTTGCACTCACTTATATGATAAAAGGAAGGTTCTGTGGAACTCGCTCTGGTGTGGCCTCTAATGGGTTCAGCGTGGTACCTTACCCTCGCCGAGCCACAGTCCATCCTCTACCCAATGTGGCCACGGGTAAACTGAATACATGGAGGATCAGCGTGAGAAGGGGTTCCACAGAGTGTTTACACCGTGGCAGCAGGCAGCATGCCGTCACTAGATGCCCCTTGCCAGGAGGCAATTGTGCAGATCCACATCACAACCTACAGTCTGTTCAGCTATGAAAACTTGCCTGTGTTCTGCACCAGAGAAATTTTCCTGGGTTTCCCTTCAAATTAAAAAGGGGTTAATGTTGGGAGCAAATATTTCTACTATGGGACTAAACACGTATCCCAAACTTTCTTAGAACTATAGTAAAATCGTCAGCCTGTCTAACCTTAAAGCTGTCATCTAAATTTTGGAGGTGTGGAGACAAGGAATAGAATGGGGGAATTATGGTTCTTGCACATTCCTGGGTCAGCCAGTCCAGAGCAACTGCCTTCCACAGGCTGTCCATCTCTGCAGACAATGCCACGCATTCGAAGTTCCTTCTCCCTGGGTCAGGTCAAGAATCATGTACCATTTGCACTGCAAACGCACTTTCGTGTTTCTAAATGATGGCAGGTGAGAAACGGAGACAGCGGAGCCACTTCCTGCACTCTGGGCTAATCTCTGCTTCAGAGACGAGAGCAGAAAGCCCGAGCAGTGAGGGGAAAAGGCCACAACCCCACACATTTTTAGACTACATGCATGGCTAAGCAATTTCATAAGCCATAGCCTTCTACAGAGAAAAGGTGGGGGGATTCCTGTCTAGGATATCTTGTGAGTGTTGATTCGACAGATAGGGTCTGCCAGAAGGCAGAGAGGACATGGGGCTGGCAGCATGGGGACACCTGTCTTTCCCAGACTGTAAACTCCTCACAAGGCAGAAGGATGGTGAGGGCACGGTGACCCCTCTGTGTCGTGGCCTCACCTGGACTTGGCTATGAGGACTGTGCTACCCTCACCTGTATGTCAAGATGAAAAGATGCGGGACTTACTGCCTCGGCTCCTGGGCCACAGCTTCCAGGCTTTCCCTCCGTGTGCTCTTCTTCCCTTCTTTCTCAACTAGCTTCTTCATGGGGTCTTGTAAGCTCTTGATCATAAGTCACAGGTAGAAAGAAAGAAAGAAAGAGGGGGAAAAAAGGAAAAGAAAAGAACATTACAGAAAAGTCATCAATAAAAATAGTCACCTGCCATCAGTGCCTATAACCACACCCGGGACCAGAGGTTTGCAGAGGTTGTCCTGCTCGAGTGTACACAGGTAAAGTTTTCCATGGTGAAGCAACAACGTTCTCAGTCAGATTCAATGACAACAGCCTACAAGGGAGGGTTGATTTGCCGCTGCATTTATGTTTTCACCTTGGGGATAAGTTACTCAGAAAAGACCTTTTGGTCATTGTGAACTTTCCTTTCCAACCTCAGCGTGCAGCTAAGATAAACGCTCTGCTGTGCCGGAAGCCCACACTCTGACATAGCGGAGGGCTTTCCTCAGCCACCCGAGCTGAGACAACTGCATTTCATTTTTAATTTTGTTTGCTATTTTGCAATTTAAAAAACATCTTTAAAAATAGTAGATAACAAAAATCTATTTTTTTTTAAGAAAAAAATCAAAATAGCATCTTAAATATTCAGACAGCTAACTCCCACGGAAGGACAGAGCAGGTGTCTCCCTAAGTCTTGTAGATTAAAAACAGGCAGTAGCCTTTTTTTTTTCTTTTTTGTTTTGGTTGGCACATCATCTGCTAAAGTTACTGTTTTAAAGGTTTATTAAATATTTAAAGGAAGTTTTTGTTTTTGTTTTCAAGAAGCAGGTTCCTACAAACTGTACACCAGTAGCTAAGACCCAGAAAGCGAAAGCAAACGTTTCCTTAACAGTGAATAATGACAGACACAAAATGACTTCTATTTTGGGCCCTGATTAAAACACAAACCTACGAACACAAAAGGAATATCTCAAGATAGTTATCTTTACATTCTCAGAACTACTGAAGTCCAGGTTCTCATCCCCTGGCCTCCCCGCCCTTCTACCATCCTTCCTGTGCTCCACTCTCCACTCTGGCACACAGAGGGGGGCAGGCAGGCTTCGGGGCCAATGCAGATCGATTAGTGATGGCTGACTGGAGGCCTGGGTGAAGGCGCTCTAAGGCTGTGTCCAGGCACAGCATAGCTGAGGCTGACTTTGGAGTCTGCCCCGGACACCAGATGGATACTGGAGTTACACCCCCAACTGCCAGGCTAGTTTCACTCCCCACACTGAGTAATTTTCCTAAAATACCCATGTCATCATACTACCCTTGTTCTTAAGAATTTATAATAGTTCCTTATTTTTCTCCATGCCTAATCTAAAAACCTCTCTCTGCTTGATTCTAAGTAATCTTAAAACTCAATGCTACCTTCACTGGCTCCTGTTGCTTCTGCAAATCATGCACTTTCTATTCAGTTAGAACCACCTCCTCAGAGTCCCGTGTGCTCATTGTTCCCACCCTATCTTTGTTCTTCCTACTTGTTCACCCTCAGAAATCCTGAATCCTTTCAAAGCCAAAATCAATTACTACTACTGTCCACACAGTTTCACTGGGCACTCCAGATTTGAAAACATCCTTCTCATGCCAAGTGGCATTTACAGTCTGATTATGGAATGGCTTTTTATAGATATTATGTACCTTCTTCACCAACATAATTTGTGTATAAAAATAGATTAGAGTTGAAAATATAGACTATTTTTCATGCTGTGAACATTTAATATTAAATTAAAGTAGATGAGTGTGCATTCACTCACTAGTATTCTGATGTGCGATCAAGGTTTCTAAATCTTTTTTAAACACTTATTTATTTTATATGTGGGGGTTGGGGGTGTGCCAAGGTGCATGTGTGTAGGGCAGAGGACAACTTGCAGAAGCAGTTCTCTCCTTCCACCACACAGGTCCCAGGAATCAAACTCACACTGTCGAGCTTGGCAGCCAGTGTCTATACCTTGCCAACCCAAGGTCTCTTCATTGAGTCTATGTCCCTTGATTTAAGTTCTGAAGCATTTCATTGCATAAAGCCTGTCTGTGCAGCATTGCCATTATCTTTAATGACTCCCTGCCTCTGGACATTAAATTAGTACATTCATCCAACTAATAGTTTTTGAGTGGCTACCATGTATAAGATGCTGTTTGGGATATTTTGGATACCAGTGAAAAGAAAAACTGTCACCAAGTGATGTGTCCAGGCAGATCATTTAAACAGGGAGACAGAAAACCATCAGATCATTATTTCAGTGGATGAGATGTCCTCTCTTGGAGGTGGAATCTCAGCTGAGAGTGAAATAGGAAGAAGAAACCAGTCATGTACAACTCGGTGAGAAGAGAAGCTTGAACACAAAGACCCAAAGGTAAGAGCAGCTTGCTTCGTGTGAAGAGGCCACTGGGGCTGTGACGTGACTGGCAAGAGTAAAAGTCTTCAGAGACCCTATAATGTGGCCAGTAGTGCCTCACAGGGAGAACATTCCTTTACTCAGCTCGTCCACATTGGCCATTTTGCCTCCTTTGTTTCCCCAAACTTTTGTGCTGTTTCTCGAATGCATGACAACTACATACAATCCATGGTCCCTGGCTGCAGCCTAGACTATGAGGGGGAATGCTACAAAGGACAGGATTAGAACAAGTGGCACAATGGATCTGGACCATGCTCTAGATGGTTTATCACTAAAACATCCAGTAAAAGCAGTGCGAAAATGTGTAGGTGTGCATGTGTGTTAGAAACATGTAAACAAAAGCGGGAGTTCATCAGATGTCAAGGGCTTACTTTTTTCAATGCAGTTGCCAATCAGGGCAACACACACACACACACACACACACACACACACACACACACACACACACACACATACACACACCCTCTAACAGAAGCTTTATTCTCCATAGAATGGTTCAGCTCTGATCAGAGTGAAGGCAGGAGCATTTTCAGCCAACGTTCTGATGGCTCCCAGGACTCACTTTCAGATCCTATGACACTTGTCCAGGCCTCCTGGTTCGCTCAATTATCTTCTCATTGTGTTTCCTTTTTGTCAATCAACATTGGGCAGCCCATGGACATGTCTGCTTCAGTGGGCTGCGTCTAGCTGCCACAGCCCTTGTCTAAAACCCCAAGATGCCCTTGACAGTTCCATGGTTATCATCCCTTCTGTCTCCAGCCCACCTCCCCTCCTGACCACACTTGAGCAGCTCTCTGACAATCCCATTGTAATGTAAACCACTCATGCCTTCTTTTCCAGCCCTTCCCCCGTTGGGCCCTTAGCAGGGCCTCAATGGTTGGCTCCCTGTCACCACAGTCACACTTAAGACCCTATTGTGCTTTCCCAACAGAATGGCCGCACTTCCAATTGCTACTTTAATTTACTATTAATAATTCCTGTGACAATTGCTCTTCTCTTCCTACATTACTATTGTCCCTATGATAATTTAGTTTCTGCAGCTTGGGAAGTGCTAAATATGTAGTTGTTGGCTGAAAGTTAATGTATATAATGCCAACTTTAAAAATTAGATCTCTTAGCTAAGAAATTTAAAGGTTCAGGGGAATACTATGAAAAGACCTATAAAACCACAAGGAAAATTAATAGTAAGCACATTACATTAGCTTATTTATTTGCTTTGAGAATTTTGAATGAAGGAGAATATTATGTTCACACGCATCAGCTTATCTGAGATTCAATTCACATGCCACAGAATTCAAACATCTCTAAAGTTGTGAGTCAAAGATTTACAATACATTCACAGAGTTGTACACTCACCAGCATGACCAATTTTAGAACATCGTCAATGGGCAAGTCCAAAGTAAGACTTGTAGATCAAACAAAGTGAAATCAAAAAGATAAAAAGCAGAACGCCACACAAAGCTTGTTTCTTAGGAAAGATGGCATGTGCTGAGATAAAAAGACTCTAAAAGAAAGTTTAAAGGCTCACGTCCCAATCCCACCTGAAAATTAGTTTCCTGTGTGACTGTCGCGTGCACATCATTCTGCAGGATGAAGGAACCAGGGGCCACAGGGAGTGAGTAAATAGTTGGGGGAATTAGGGGTTAGGGATGTTGGAAATGAATTTTTCAGATTACTTTGAAGTCCACAATTTAGATAAAACAAAACAAAACAAAACAAAAACCACTTGACCCTACAGCCTCTTCAGAAGTCCGGAGTGACAGCATTTTCTGAATGACATGAACATGTGCTCAGGCAAAATGAACAGGAGAGGTCTGGGGGCTGTGTGTGAAGAGACAACTCAGCCAGTGGAAGCCACATTTGAGTCCGTGGCCAGAAATGAAAACTCCAAAGCATTCTGCTTCTAAACCTCAACTGGCTCAGTTCTTCACTCAAACTGTCTGTGGCGATCACTGCATGGCAGCAGTGCACAGCGTCAGCCCCTTCACTGGAAGGCTCTCTGTGGATGAAAGGGTGTTTTCAGACCAAGTAACCTTCTCCTGGTCAGGCTACCACAACAGGCTAATAGTTTCCATCGATGCACAAATAGCTTCAGGAAGCACATGCACAATATATAAGATCGGCGTGACAAAGGAAATGTGCAGACCCAGCTTGCAAATGTGTCTTAAAAAGGAAACAGCTTAATATAATAAAGAGAATTACTACTTCCTGTATTAGGAAAATAAAAGCAACAGCAACATTCATCTGAAAGAAAGCAAAACTACCCAACAAAACAAATTCCTGAGACAAAAGGCCAGCAGCCAGTTCTAATAACCCAAATGGAAGCCCAGCTTACACAATGGAGTAACATTTCCTGCAGTCCTTAATTAGACACTTTATTTTCTTATGCGACTTTCCATTAATTATACTGCACACATAGGAAGGTGCCAAATAATTGTCAAAAAAAAGGAAACAAAAGCACTGAAAATAGTTTTGCATGGTCAAAAGATGCGGCATTCAGTTGGGTGTGTGTATGTTTGTGTTTATATAATTAGTAACACATGAGAAATAAAAAGCAGAGGACATGATGTGTGCCAGCCATGCTACTCATGGACATTTAGAACATATGTGCCCCTCTTCCCCACCACACACTTCCCCCACTATGTACAAATGACACCATATAAGGAATACGACTA